CAGCAATTTAATAATTGAATAAGGCACTTTAATAAAACAACAGGAATAATACAGATTTGTGTGGATTGCTGGTGATAATCTACTGTCTGCAGAAGCATATACAGGCATCAAGGTTACAAATTACTGACAAGCGCTAAGTTGGAAAACAGTTCTATAGAGGTTTCTGAGTCTCTGAGGAAGTCCTCGGGGCAGTATAAATCTTACCCAAAGGCGTCCCTATGTGGGGGAAGAGAGGCTCTGCCCGCTGACTAATCCCAGAGGTCAGAGGTCTGCGATGGTATCTTCCCTGACTTGTCTGTGATTGTGTCTTCCCTGACATCCCCCTTTCTTTGCGCTACTTTTATACTGTTTTTACCCTCAAGGTGGAGCTTGAGTGACCCTAGTCATACTTTTATTGTGATTGGTAAAAACTCTTTTGTTTCCCTTTTAAGGTATAGGTTACATAAAATTCAGAGCATACTCTCAGTAGGGGGGTGGTCGTCGCACCTTGGAGGTGGGAGGCCTTTGAGCCAGAGGCGTGTTTTTTTATTATCATGATTCAAAGTACACACAAGGACGGCATTTGTCTAAAGGACTGTTGGCCCAGGATTGCTAACAGGTGACTTATCAGCTCCTTGGTGTCTCTGAGGCTTATCTGCAGTGATTTTCAGAGTTTGGCCACGGAATCTTCACTCCCTCCATCCTGCTGATATGCAGACCAGGGTGTCCAGGAAACCACCTTGGAGAGGATTCTTTGCATACCAGTTGCATTCTTCCCTGGGATCTCCTTTGACATTATACCTTTCCTTAATGTATGAACAATGCTGTATTTTGATTTCTAAGTTATCCCCAGTAATTATTCCACACATGCCTTGCCTCAGCTCCAGGTTGGCCTTCACTTTAACTCTGTCCCTACAAGATGAGACAGCAGCCCTGTATTCCTCCTGGGGCACTTCTCCATGCTTCCAGTGCCAGTAAACTTCCTTTTTATAGGAAGTTCCTTGCTCATCCAGACAGCCCTCTTGCAATCTTTGCTTGATTTTCTGCTTCTCGAGATGGACCTTTCTTGAGCTTGGAGGTGGTGATCCTTGAATATTAACTAGCTCTCCTGGGCCGCTCTTCTCTCCAGTGTGGTTTCCCATGGATTCATTTTCCAAGCAGATTCCTGAAGAGATGCTTTTTGCCCTGCTCCTGCCTGTTAGGATCCTGAACTCCTACATATCAGAGAGTATCTATATCCATCCCTCGCTTTTTTTTAACAATGCCCAACTACAGAGCAAGCACTATGGTTGACATACTTATTCCTGGAGTTCATTTTTAAAGGTATCCCAAAAATAACTTCTGTTTCATCTTTTTGCTGTTACTGTTGTCATACAAAGCATTGCAAAAAAAAAAAAAAATCTTCTATCACTGTTTTCCTGATAATGGAAAATATGGATATTTGGTTTATGTCCATTCTATTATTCCAGTTCAAGAAAGACTTGCCTAAACATATTTATCTTTTTTGAGACGGGTACAGATACCTCCCCTGTTAGAAATTGTTTAGGCCTTACAGAAACTTAATCACCGAAATGTAGGCAAAGTACTTGCTAAAGCAATCTTTTTTTTTTTTTTTTTTTTTTTTTTGTCATGTCCTTGGTAATTGTTTCCACAGGTCCTTTTCACACCATCAGTGTTTCATGATCCACTGAAGAAGGAAGCAAAGCTCTCTTCCAGCTGGCCTAGTTCTGTTGCCCTTTCAGAACCTGCAGGGAAAATTGGTCCCACTTGGGTATTGGAACTGTACCAGACTCCAGGTTTCCAGCTCTTCAAGGAGCAGGATACCTCATAACGCACAGCTCCCTGATAGGTCCTTCTCAGCTTTGGTTCACCTTTCTGCTATTCCAGCATCCCAGAATGTGCTGATGTTTTCATTCAGTTGTGAAGGGTGACTTCCTTTCCTTGGGCAGCTGATACACAGACTGCAGCTAGAGATGAGTTTTTTCCAGAAGGCTTTTTTCAGTTCTTGTTTAGAACAATAAAACAGTTTACAGCACATGGAATATTTTTAATTATTCTGTGAACAGGAAAATTTGCATGTGCATAAATCTAAAGGTAGAAATAATATAACTTAATTATATTCTTAAGGAAATAATGACAAGTTTTCAGATAGAACACCAGCAACCCTGAACAGTTTTACAGAATACGTTACAATTCACTTAATTGGCTTGGATGAAACAGGATAACTGCTTAACTGGAATGATTGCTAAAGCAGTCACTAAAAATGCAGCATGAAGAATGAATTGCATGCCATGTGTTCTTGGCTCTAGTAGATGTGAGTAAAGCTGGGGCTTAACTAACGATTGGTCTTCAATGCCTGTCAACAAAGATACGTTTGCTATCTGAGTCAATAAAATAAATTAAAACAGTGCAAAAATAATCAAAATGGTTATTGGATTAAAAAAAACTGCATTTGTTTGAATTGCATAATTACAGGAAAATAACATTTTAGTAAAGTTGATAAGTCTGCTTCAATTAAATCAAAAAATAGTATCTTCTTGATGTTTGTAGTCCATTTGAAAACTTCAGGAAAACAGTGTCCTAACAGCATTGTTCTTAACTGAGCTCATACAAAATGTTTATATGCAACGGATTCCGTGAATTAGTGGTTAATTGCCTGTAATGCTGAGCCAAGAAGGCCGCCTATGTGGGTTTCTTATTTAGCAAGAACATGTAAATTATTAAATCAGAACTGTGCGTTACTGTTGGTAGACTTGCTCTTTCCAGTAATAAATCAGCAGGCTCTGTGCCAGCAGTTCTGTCACTTCCTGCATTCAGTGGATATTGCATTATATGTTGGCTCTTCTAATTAAGCTTTGAGATTGCTCATGGTCAAATTCATCACGGTATAGAATATATGGATGTCAAGCTCAGCAGAGTAACACAACATATTTATCATGGTTGAGTAGTTAGTGTTCTTAGCATTTCATTAAACTTTTTCAAAATGTTTTTGTATCGGTCTTATGACTCTCATGATTGTACTATTTATAGCAGCTATATGGTACAGAAGTGTACAACTTTGTCTTTATCCTGAGTAAGAGAAGAACATGCATTTTATCCAGATATTCCTAGTATCTTGAGAATAATTAGAAAATACTAAATTTACTTCCAAGTCTTGTGAAAGCAAAGCTTCTGTGAGGGGAAAGGAGAGTAGGGAGTTCAGCTGGTATTCCATGTAGGCAAAAAGGTTCAAAATCAGGGACTGCGTATCAAAAGAGAGAAACCTCTTTCTAAAGTCTCTTGTGAGACAAACAAATGGTGCGATAAAGTATTAGCATTGCAGTTTAGCATAAGAAATTCATTGTTCAAAGCAAAGCAGCATTGTTTCCTAAGGACAGAACTTCTCTTTTTAAAGTTTATATAGCTCTTAATGGTAATCAATACAAAGGAAAGCATCTACAATTCTGTTACAGGTTGATATTTCTAAAAGAAAAATTAATGAAGGCAGTCCACTGAAGTTAAATGGAAGATGTTCTTAAATTTGTCTTTTAGGCTTTCTGTGAAACTCTGGAGGAAACAAATTACCGTCTACAAAAAGAACTGCTTGAAAAACAAAGGGAGGTTGAATCGCTGAAGAAATTGTTAAGTGAAAAGCAACTTCATATAGATGCTATTGAAAGAAGAATTAGGTATGTAGAAATTTTATGGGTTTTCGGAGTTCTTTCCATGAAGGCATTTTCTCCATACAGTCACAGGCACCAGATTTAAGTGTGTTCTTGGAAACTATTTTCCCCACATAACCGCACACAAAGCAATATTTTCAGTAGGCTCTTTTCTCATATGCTATCTAACAAGCTGTTGTGTAATACAAGTGACTGAGAAAGTGTTGTCTCATCTTTTTTCCTCTAAAGTAACTGGAATGACGTTTCCTAATTCTTTAAGTCCTGTAAAGATAAAGCAAAGATTCTGTTCTGCTTTTGAAATGTTGGATATGTGAAATGCCCTGCTAGAGTTAAGAGCAGTGGAAAATTTGCTTTGAGTTATAAAATTCCACCTGTACTCAAAGCTTTAACAGAGGATAGTGATCAAGTGAATATGTCTGTATTAATGTCTTTACCTTGTTCTGAATTGCCTAGAATGATGCCACAGATCATCCATTTAAATCAAAGGAAAAAAGTGATGGAGTTTATTATAAAACTTTATGGTGCCTGTCTGCTAAATATTGTAGCAGGCCCAGGGGAGTTGATGGGCTGTTCAGTGTCCCGATAGACCTGCTGAGTCAGTCATTGTGGGGTTTCCTTAGCAAAGGAGTAAATTCCCATGGTCCATTTAGAAGTTATTTTAATAATTCTTGGGTTGTTGAGTCTAGCATATCCACGTTGACTAACAAATCACATCTTCGGATAAAAGGTTTAAGTGAACTACATTTGGAAAAGGACTTAAATGGAGTTGTGGCTTATTGAAAATTCTTATCTGAATACCATTTTCAGTTTGTCACTTACTCCTGAAGGCAAGTCATTACATTTGAAAGATGCTTTCCCTGTTTGATGAATATTCTGACTACTGCTGGCTTAAACAGTGAAATAGCCAATAAAAATTAATTAAACTTGTATTTGGCTAAAACATCATGATGGGAAATTCTGTGTGACTAAAAACAAAATAAAAACTCATGAGTATTAAAAAGGGATTTTATTTTTTAGTGCTTTTCCTGAAGCTGGATTTTTTTTAAAAACCAAAAACAAAACAAAACACTGCCACTTTCCCAGACATTTAAAATTATTGAAAGTCAACCGAGTAGTATCTGAAGTCTTAATGGAAAATAACTCCTGTGATTTTTCAGTTGTAAAAGTTACCAAATAAACCTGTTGACCTCATTTAAGAAGTTCAGCTTGTCTGATGAGAATTGAACCCAAAATAAATGGGTCTTTCTTTGGCCTTGTTGAACTGGAATTTTGATCTGATGGCCCAACAAGAATTAAGCATCCCTGGCCTTTATGCTCTAAAGGCCAGGTACTTAAATGTGTGTGAGTTAGGAGGGGGCAACTGAACAAGGCATCAGACTTTAGGCCTTTACATATCATACTGGATTTGGCCCAAACATAGGCCAATAATCATGTTAGAGAATACTGCTGAGGTATTACTTAAAATGCGTGCATTAAAATAAAAATATAGAAACAATAGTAGTTAGAGTAATTTAAAAAGAGGGTAAAGCACAGTAGTGTGACTTTCAACACAACATTGCTCACAGGCTTATTTTTCAAATTCAAGTGGCAGCTTTCAACACTAAATTGATGTTTTCCACACAGAGCAGTACTTCAGAAAGAAGTGTTTTTGATAATTTTACATGACCATATTCCCATTTGTAGCCAGGCTAGTAGGACTGCCAACTTGTGTTGCTGTTAATAAAAAATTACTATTTGTCTCTATTATTAATAGGAAAATGTGTTGTTCTGAAACTTAGTACGTGAGACTAAAGTTACAATTTGAAACTTTGAATCTTTCTATCATCCTGCCCATCTTCCTTATGATTATGTTTTGGTTATAATCCTTCTGCAATTTAGGCAAGATGTGTGTGGCTTAGATCACCTGTTTGCAATTTCTTACCTAAAGTCATAGTCATTCCTCTGGGACTTGAATTGTGTAAAAGTACTAAATTGTGATGCAGCCAATGGATAGAGTTTAGTTAAGGAATAAGCAGCTGGAGAAAAAAAATGTTTAAATAGCTATCCACTGCAAGCCTTGCATCTCTGTAGTAATAAAAGAAATGAGGCATGTGAGAGTGAGATTGATAGGTTCCCAGAAACTGCAAAGTTTCAAATGAAACAAGCAGCTCTTCAGTAATAAATGTTTGCAATATGGATTGGCAGTACTCTGTTCTTATTTGTTGTAGGGATTTATCTATAGGAAAAATGACTCGTCAAATGTCAGGAGAAGAAAGTGAGTGCAGTGGTGAGGTGGAGTCTTCTGCAGTAGAAGCAGACCAGGGTACCCTGGGTGAAGACAGCTGGTAAATACTATTATTTTACTTATAAAATATTTTAGTTTTTCTTAAAGTATGTTTTTAAATGTTTGGTCTTGCATAAATTCTGAACAGCTGAGGAATTCAGCATTTTATTGTACCTCTGTAGCTATCCCATGTTTCAAAAAGGCCCTCAGGATAGGTAAATTTAGATCTGGAGTAAGCGATAAGTTGAGCAAGCTTTGTAAATGTTTTGTGGATTGCAGGCATAAAATGACTATCGATAGTCATATTAGTTTCCATTTGACAAAGTTTATTGATCTGTTGTTGCAGCTCAGATAAAGAGAACCAAGAGGCATGCTGGAGTGGCTCTTTGCCTGAAAATTCTGTACCAGAAATTGAAGTTGCTGAAGTAGCGTATACCACTGTTGAAGAAGAATAGATCAGTAGCAGCTGCTGTTACCTGGGAAAGGTTCATGTTTGTGACACACTCCGTGGGGAGAGGCATAGACTAGCTGTGAAGAAATTACAGCAAAGAGCAAGAATGCACATGTTGAATGTTTACATAAATCCTTACAAATTATTAGTGTAAGAAATATACCCAGTGCTGCTTTGATTTCAGTTTTTATGTAGCCTTTATATATTTAATATATTAAAGTTTAATAAGGGCTAAAATCAGCTAAGGTTTAGATAGTGTACATACACAATTTGGCTGAGTTTCCTCGCAGAGTGACGAAAAGTTCACGTTAAATCGCCAAACGCCTAACTAGCATATCATATGTTGCCACTGATGTGACACATTTGATATGTTCATCTGTTTGGTATTTGTTTTCGTTATTCTTATAGTCATAAACTAATGCTTGTTGAAGTAAAAAATGGACTCATCTTACATTTAATAAGAGTGTAGAATGTGTTGGTTTTTAAATTGTAAAGTTGAAGAATATTTCTCTGGAAATTTTAATGCAATACAATAGGAAAATTTACAGTACCAAGAGAAAAGTACTTATAAAACAGGATTATAGTTGGACATTTTAAAATAAAGGGTCATTTTTGCTGAAGGAACTAATATGAGACCCCCAAAACACTGTGTATTTTCATCCCAAGATAGCATGCTGTAATACTTTCTGTTCGGTAATGCTGCTTTTAAAATCTGGGATACCTTTGCTACATACCCATGTAACAACAAAATCTGTGAGTTTGCCTTTTACTTGGAACACTACCTCTTACCATCTTGCTAATACATTCACGTTTGTTTAAAAATATTCTAGATTATAAGGAGATGATTAAAAGTCTTGTAAAGAAGCCATATTTTTTCCTGCACAGTTCATAACTAGATTGAATCTAGTTGCAATGTATTTTTGTTTCAATATATTGTACACATGGGGATGTTGCTCCATATGTTCTATAGCCTATTTTTCAAAATGTATTAAGACAGGAGATGCACTTTATAATTAAGACTCCATTGTGCCAAGTTCAGTTGGCTAATTGGTTGAGAAAGGGGAGTTGCAGGGAAAGGATTATTGTAGTGCCTTTTTGTATTTTACTTGTTCATTACTGCAGAATTTTGTTACAGTTCTCTGGGTCAGCTCTGTGGAATCTTTGATACAGCTTGTTTCTGTTCTTCCCTTATTTACTGGAAGTGCCTTGTTTTATTCTGTTTTTCCAATAGGAAGAATGCTGTTTTGTTTTAATCTTTTTTTCACCATAAACCGCCCACATCGTTGTTTAATGTTGTCAATATGCAGTGTCTTTGAGCTGGAGTTTTCAAAGGGAGCTTTGTACTTCAGGCTGTGCATACAATGACCTTTATGCAGAACTGTATAAAACCTGGTGAAATAAAACTATCGACAAAACACCTGTCTTCTCTTTTCCATTCTAGGAAAAAGATGTTCAATGCCTTGTCTAGTAAAAGGATAAAAATACTATTAGAAAGAGACATTTCTTACCTCAGTGTTTCCTACAGTTAGTCAATTCTTGGTCTGAGTTCTGTTTGTACCAAAAATTGACTGCATAAAAATGAATGCAAATTCTGTAATGAGACACCAGAAAACTTACTGTACTTCTGTTGAAGATTAAAATAAAAAAGGAACTGATTTTTTTTTATTTTCTACATGAAACCTCATAGATGTTGAATGAACTCAATAAACTTTTGACACCTTATTGAAAATTAATTTAATCTTTTGTCAGATGTCACTTACATACTTGAAAATAAGGTTGAGCTATGTATATTGAAATAGTGTTACTTTTTTAAAACATTTATAGTCATAAAATCTTGAAACAGTGTTTTGGTCATAAATGCTAGGAATTTCTGCTTCGGGTAAATGTGCAAATCTAGTCCTTAATGAAAGCATAATATAAAAAATTTACAATTTAGGAATGAGAGGGCAAAGGAATGGAGATTTTGTTGTGCTCTGTCTTTTAAAGTTTGTAAGATATTTTGCTGACCTAAAATATTTAGTATCACATGAATAGATATTTTTGTTTAATTAAAAATTTGGGTCCCCCTAAACTAAGCCGAAAAATGTGAATTTGTTCATCAGCCATGTTGTATCACTTGGCCTATGTTACTGGTTAATGAATGGTTGCTCCCCTAAGGGACATGCAGAATTTGAGGTGTACAACCCATGGGGGTCTTGAGCGTCCTGATGGACATGACTTCCAAGTCTGTCCCATACTGAAATATTTTCTAGTGTGCTTGCTTCCATCCAGGCACTATTTTCCATCCATTTCCTTCTTATTTCACTCACTGCTACACTTTTAGTACAGAAGCAGCCAACTTTCAATTATTTCATTCATGAGAATTTGACCGTGGAATTCTGTGCTCTTCAGAATGAGCAGAGGAGTATTCAAACTGGAATTGTAGCAGAGTGAAATAATTGCAAAGATTGCAACCAATAATGCTTTGTTCTCTTCTGTTGTAGTTAAAAATCATTCTAAATGTAATTGTCTTAATAGTTCAGCCAGTGGTTTACAATGTTTTTTTTTCCCTGGGTTTTAGATTTCAATACATTGTACCCAGCTAAATCTTACTGGGGTTTTGCTGGTTTTTATATACTACATGTTAATCCTGCAGGAGTTTTTTTTTATCCTCTGACGCACTTGCAGTCTGCCCATGCCACTTCTCTGCATTTGATTTGTATGCTTCTAAATCAATTAAAATGCTGACTGCTCCTGAATCAAGAGTCAGTTCCTATAAAACTCCCACTTCATACCTTTCCCACTGTGATGACGATTAGCTACTGTGACTATAATAGTCCCATTGAACGGGCTCAAGGAAGGGAGCAAATTCACTAATTCACGACCATTGTAGGAGTAGCCTATGTACTGTGTTTTCCCAATAGGCTGCTGTCCTCACCTCTTTGTGTCAAGCATCTCTTTGTTGCTCTGGGGGGTCATAGTTGCAGAGAAAAGGGACGTGGAAAGCTTCTGTTCTAGGTGGCATGTCTGTCCCAAATTGGTTTTACTCTACACATCTCATTAGGCCACTAAGTAGTTTGATTTTTCTCTCTGCAGTTTCTATTCCTTCATTGAAATGGAGCTATGAAGCAGTAGCAATTATCCTGCTGGAAATTTGTGTTTCTGGTGGAACTGATACCAAACCCAACTTTCTATAGGAAGCTTTATGTGGGTTGGTTTTTGGAGGTTTTTTCCCCATGCTCCAGCAGGCTCTAGTACACACTGGAAGAGGAATTTTGAAGAGTTACATTCACGTTGCTGCTGCTGCAGTCAGGTTTTTAAAGAAATGTCAGATTAATGCCATCTAATAGTCCAAGGTCATGAATCACCAAGGAAGGAAAGAATCCTGTAGGAAATACTCCCTTTATGGAATATCAGGTCTAAAGGTCTTTCTTCCTGTCATACCTTTAAATATTTAAATTAAGTCTTTGTCCTAGAGATCAGTATGTTTGAATTTCTATACAGATCCATCATTCAAAACTAGATAGGTATTTTTCCTATAAAATACAGGGCTTGGTATAAGGGATGCTAGGATAACTGAACCATGTCCTCACATCTGTGTTTCTTTGTCTGAACTTGGAGTACTGATAATACAGCTGTCTCCAGAAGATCACAGAATCACAGAAT